TCGAGCACCGTGACGAGCCGGATCTTCTTTCTTGGGCAGGCAGGCAACTGGCCTGGGAGGTCTCCCGCCGAGATCAACCTGGGCATAATAGAAGTCCCGGAATTTGTTTTTTCTTGTTTAAGTTCTTCTCAGGGGCATTTCCGCGACCAAAGAATGCAGAACGAATCTGGGTTGTTTTTTTTTTCAGTCTTGTCGATGGGGGGAGGGGGAGGGGGGGAAGGGGGTATAATGGGTTTACAGGGGTGCGCCTTAAGCCTCATTTGTTTTTATTTTCTTTTTTATTTTCGATTTGATGAGGAATTCTGAGGTGACCCTCAGCCAAAAACCGTTTGCGTTGCAATTCTACGTAAAATGTTTGCTTTCCAAAAAAAAATGATGTTTTCTTTCCTGATTTTGCTCCGGGGCTGCCCGAACCTTCCCCCCGGGACCTTGTCCAGCCGGGCATTCTGGCCAGCCAGTGGCAGTCCGGGTGCCTGTCCGGGTGCCTGAAATGGTATATATGTAAACAGAGCTGCTTGGTAAGCCGTAGGCAGAGAGGAAGAAGAGGACAACAAACGAGGGGCGGTGACAAACTGTTTCATCGGAGTTTCACCGACTTACATATATATTGTCACATAACTATGAACTAAAAGAGCGCAATTTGTGAAACAAACGGCAAAAAAAAAAAACAAAAAAAAACACAAAAAAAAAAACAGACAAACATGAAGGGCACAGTGAAACCATTCATTTTACTCATTCTTCTTTTGACTCCCCTTTCACCATGCCTCTCACGTACAAGGCTCGCCACGTTGATGGAGTTGAGCGCGAGCTGCCCCCATCCCTGTGTGCCATAACAGCCCACTTGTACACTGTGAGAAGGAGGCAGAGTGAAGGGGGAGGGGATAAACACAGGGAGGAGAGATGCAGAGCAGACAAACAAAGAACGATAAAGGGAAAGTAAGGGAAAGTATGGAGTGTGGAGTGAAGATGAAGGCAAAAGAGGATAAGAGAAGGCTCAAGAATGAGTCTGTCCTTGACGACAGACAGGACATACATTGTAAGGATGACGTGGATGAACACATGGAAGACCTTGCTGAACATTCTCATATATATATCTATACATATATACATATATATATATCGTCACAAATAGAACTTCCCGGTAAACCGTAGGCAGAGAGAGAGAAGAGGACAACAAACGAGGGGCTGTGACAAACTGTTTCGTCGGAGTTTCACCGACTCATCAGGAGGCTCAATATATATATCGTCAAATAGAACTGCCCGGTAAACCATAGGCAGAGAGGGAGAAGATGACAAGAGATTTTCTTCTTCTTTCTTCTTCTTCCTCCCAGTTCTTCCTCCTTCTTCCTCCTTCCTCCTCCTCCTTATTCCTTCTTCTTCCTTCTTATTCTTCGTCTTCTTCCTCATCCTTCTTCCTCCCCCCTTTCCTTCCTCCTCCCTTTCCTTCTCCTCCCTTTCCTTCCTCCTCCCTTTCCCTCTTCCTTGTCCTTTCTCCTCCCCTTCTTCCTCCTCTCTCCTCCCCTCCCCCCTCCCCCCTCCTGTTGGGAACAGGACAATTGTTTTCATTTTCGATTGGATCTAATCTGGTTGTGCTTACCTTTGTCCTCCTTGTGAACAGTGTTGTCTCTTCTCTTTCGCCCAGTAAAGGAATTCTTCTTGGCTAAATTTCCAGGCTAGTGGGAGACGATTGGAGGTCTTTGATCTCACAAATCTACCCGCGCTTATCCGGCGTCGCATCGGTCTATCGATAAATCTCTCTGTTTTCAGTATCTTCGAGTACCACAGTAATCTTTTTTTTTTTTTTTTTTTTTTTTTTTTTTCAAAACGGAACCTCTTAGTTCTGGCTCCTACCATTCTGGGGGGCGACAGTCCGGTTCCTATTCCCCCAGCAAGTCAATTTGAAATACATATAAAACTCACTCACGCTCCTCCCCATTATGGGTGGGAGGCCCGAGTAGACGGCATTGATTATTTCCCTGAGGAAGGATGTGCCCCCTCTCCCCCCTGCCTAAGTTAGCCTGTACTATTTAATCTACCTGGCTGTTTCCAATCTGTCTAACCACATCCCCGCTCCTCTCAGCTGTGATGCTGTCAAGTTTGCGTGTTATGCTAGAGCGAACTGGACCCCCTTTCTATCCGCCTCTTCTTAAACCCTAAACCCTCTGACCCTTAGTTGTTCTTCCTACCCCCGAACAGTAACTAGAGTCTAGAGATCCTTGACTTTAACGAATTAAACCCCCCTGCCTCCTTCTAACCCCACCCCTGTTTTCTTCTACCCGTCATTTCCCTCCTTTCCTCTCCTTAATCCCTATATCCTACTGCTGCTGTCCGTCTTCCTCTTTCCTCTACAACCTCGCTTCCTCTCTGTCTTTCCAGACTTACAGGGCCATAGCCATTCTACCTTCCCTCTCCCTGGACTTAACTTTATACCTGCCCTCTCCCTGGACTTAACTTTATACCTGCCCTCTTGGGCCTTGCTGTAGACATTTACTGTGCCCCCTTAACCCTTGACTGTCTACTTTGCTCCCGATTTCTCCGTTCTCCATTTAAATCTCAGTTTCCCACTCTGAATACTAGCTACCGCCCCTTGGCCCAGAACGTTCTGGATGAATCTGGACCTCAGTAAAGGAATTTATCTGAATCTTATAAAAGGCTTTGATGTACGCACGTGCAAGGGATAATCGACCATCACGTTTTTTTTTGTTTTTTTTTTTGTTTTGTTTTTTTGGTTGTTATTATCTGCGATGCTCTCCCCAGCTTCGCTTTGACTACTTTTAATCCCGAGTTAAGACTCGACGGGTATCCTCAACAGATTTTTTTCCACAAAAAATTGTCACTGACCCATTTCTATTTTTGACAGCAATTTAATTCCCTACTCACGGGATTTCCCCCGGGCGAATCTTCTGAGAAAATCCCACTGCCAAATTCAGGCTTCGCTCAGGGCTAAGATCTTTGCTATAGCAGGCACTGTTTTTAGCAGCATTTTAATTGGCTGCTCAAGGGAGGTTCACGAATCGAATTTAGGACCCACCAATCTAGGCACCGATAGGATCATGGATCAGCGGGAATTTTGGCATACCGAACAAGCGCCTCGATATGTGATTTGGCTCTATATATTGCGTGGGGATGGCCATACCCCACCACGGAAGTGAATGGTCTCCAAAGTCTTATCTTATGATTACCTCCTGATGATGCCCATGACACGGCAGGGTGAAACATGTAGAGGGACACGGGTCCATGCTTCGTTTCTCGGTATGGAATCGAAGAACTTGTCGTGTGTTTGATTCCAATCAGATCACTAGTGCAAGGTTGTTCTCCTAGCAGCTTCAGTGTGGCCGCTGATTATCCAATCCAATCCAATAATTCTTCTTCTTCTTCTTCTTCTTCTTCTTCTTCTTCTTCTTCTTCCTCCTCCTCCTCCTCCTCCTCTGCTGCTGCTGCTTCTGCTTTTTTTTCCTGTATCGTGCTGGTTTTGGCTGTAAACAAAGTTGCGTTACTTCGCCTCGTTCTTTTCTTTTCCCAAATTTGGCAAATTGGAAATTTTATGTACTGCACAAAGTTGCGTTACTTCGCCTCTTTCTTTTCTTTTCCCAAATTTGGCAAATTGGAAATTTTATGTACTGCACAAATTTGCCAAATTTGGGGGGAAAGCAGGAAAGAAGGAGGAGGAAAAGACGAAAAAGGAGGAGGAAAGGGAAAACAGAACCAACTGTATGGGTACACAGGGTGTCTGCAGATATGTCGCCGAAATAATCATGGGCGTGTTTCACTGTCTTGTCTTCCTTTTCTTTTGCAGAATTCTTTGGTGGAATATCCCTATGATCCAGCAGCTGAGAAATTAATTGGCGAATCACCGCTGCGCTGGGTGAGTTTTAATTTTATTTTATTTTATTTTTAATCTTTTTTCATTCTTTTTTCATATAAAGTTTAAAGTTTACACCCTAAACTTTAAACTTTACAGTGTCTACCACATTTACCTCAACTTCTTACTTGTACTCTGTTGGAAACTTTGCGTGCCGGTAATGAGCAACCGGACTGGCGCACCCTGCAATAGATGGGGTATGTGAGTCCCACCCCTGGAGAAAATCGAAAAGCCTACTTTTTTTTCTTTTTTCTTTTCAAGTCTGAAAAAGTTAGAAAAACACAAATTGCTTCCACTTTGTTTTTTTGGGGGGGAGAAAAGACCCTTTCTGATTTTGAATTGCTTTCACATGATGAGCATTTGTGAGGATTCACCCCTCGCCATACCTGCATAAGGCCCCTGCAACAGATGCGTGGCCGCCCGGAGTGAAGGCGGGCCCCTGAATTCCAATGACCCCTGAATTAGTCAATTTTTGCAAAGCCCTGGGTGGACGCCAGACAGTTGCCACGCGCCAATTGGTTTACATCCGCCTTGCTCGTGAGAATCTGAAATATTTGTGAGCCTTCCAGGCTCTTCCAGCAACGTGGT